AGAGAGAGAGAGAGAGAAAATGGTTTGCAGAGCAGGTTGTCCCAGCACGTGAGACATGTATCTACTAATGCCCTGTCTTGTTGTGCGTATGCGTGAGTGCACCTAACCTGTGTAACGTCTACTGCCATTGTTAACGACCAAGACAAATTTCTCCCATCGAGGTGAATAAAGAATGTCATTGTCATTGTTCTGGGTCCACCCCTCTTTCCCTTAGACCATCATACTGCAAGTGGACAATAGTCGCCACGCAAGGAAACCGCCTCGTTTTCCGTATCTGGGACTTCGACCTGGAAGCAAGCATCTTCTGCTACAAGGATCTTTTCACTCTCCTTGACGGTGAGTCACGTCTGTTCCAAAACTCTGTCACTCAACTTTACAGGTTACCTGTGACTGGTGTTTTCTTTGTTTGTTTGTTAGTTAGTTGTTTTTTTTTACTTTCTTTCTTTCTCGCATGCTTTTCTTTCTTTCTTTCTTTCTTTCTTTCTTTCTTTCTTTCTTTCTTTCTTTCTTGAGTTCTTTGGTTCTTTCTTTCTATTGTTCTTTCTTTCTTTTGTTCTTTCTTTCGTTCGTTCTTTCAGTCGGTCTTTCAATCTTACTGTCGTTGATTCTTGATTCCTTGTTTTCTTTTTCTTTTCTTTCTCTGATTTCTTTTGCTTGTTTTATTCTTCTTTTTTTTCTTTGACTCTTTCTTTCTTTGGTTCGTGCTTTGATTCCAACCTTTTTTCTTCTTTCATTCTTTTCTTCTTTCTTTCTTTCTTTCTTTCTTTGCGCGCTCATACGACCTTAGCAGTTGCGAGCGCCGTAAAACCCTATACTACATGCATTTCTTTCTTTCTTTCTTTCTTTCTTTCTTTCTTTCTTTCTTTCTTTCTTTCTTTCTTACTTACTTACTTTCCTTAATATTTGCCTTGATTCTCTCTTTTTTTCATTCTTTCTTTCTTCCTAAACTTATTGGATTGTTGCTTCGATTTTTGCTTTTTTAATTCTTTGCCTTTCTATCTTGATTCTGTCTTTCACTTTGTCTCCCCCCGTGGTACAGGTTCCTCGGGGTACGAGCTAGACCTGCTGTCCATGTGTGGCAGTTTTACGTCCAGAAACTTCTTCAAGACCTTCTCTCTTTCTGTCTTTGACTTCTTTTTCCTTTGTTTCTTTGTTTCTTTGTTTCTTTCATTCCTTCTTTCTTTCCCTCTTTCAGTCTTTCTTTGTTTGGTTCTTGATTCATTTTATCCTTTTTTTTCTGTCTTTGATTTTTTGTTTTCTTTTTATTCCTGTTTCTTTCTTTGACATTTTGTTCTTACTTTCTTCATATCATCTTTCCTTCTTTCTTTCTTTCTTTTTTGTGTCTTTCTGTCTTTCTTTTTTTCTTTTTTCTTTCAGCCTTTTTTGCTTTGATTTTTTATTTCTTTCATTCTTTTCTTTCTTTCTTTCTTTTTTAAAATTTTAGCTTTCTTATTTTTTACTTTTTATCTTTCTCTGACTTTCCCCTTCTTACTTTCTGCATATTTTCCGTCTTTCTTTCTCTCTTACATCCTTTTTTTGTTTGTTTCTTTGTTTCTTTGTTTCTTTCTCTCTTACTTACTTACTTACTTACTTACTTACTTACTTACTTACTTACTTACTTACTTACTTACTTACTTACTTACTTACTTACTTACTTACTTACTTACTTACTTACTTACTTACTTACTTACTTACTTACTTACTTACCTACTTTTGCCCTGATTCTCTCTTTTTTGGGTTCTTTCTTTCTTCCTCAATTTCTTTGATTCTTGCTTCGATCACTACATTTTTTATTCTTTGTTTCTTCTATCTTTGATTCTGTCTTTGTCCCCCTCCCCCCCCCCTCCCCCTCAGTGGTACAGGCTCCACGGGCTACGAGCTAGACCTGCTGTCCCTGTGTGGGGGTTTTACGTCCAGTAACTTCTACAAGACCTTCGCTCTTTCTGTCTTTCTTTCAGTCTTTCTTTCTTTCAGTGTTTCTTTCTTTCTTTCTTTCAGTCTTTCGTTCAGTCCTTTTTTTAAATTCATGATTTCTGTTATTCTTTTCTTTCCTTCTTTCTTTCTTTGATTTTAGCTTTCGTTTGTTTTTCTTTTAATTTTTAAATTCTTACTTTCTGCATTCTGTTTTTGTTGTTGTTTTTTTTCGTGCTTCGATTATGATTATTGCTTTTTTATTCTTGTTTCTTCTATCTTTGATTCTGTCTTTGTCCCCACCCCCGTTGTACAGGATCCACGGGCTACGAGCTAGACTTGCTGTCCCTGTGTGGGGGTTTTACGTCCAGCAACTTCTACACGACCAAAATCTCTTTCTGTTTTTGACTTCTTTTTTTTCTTTTTTTCTGTATTTCTTTCCTTGTTTCTTTCTTTGTTTTTTTCTTTGTTTCTTTGTTTCTATCTTTCTTTGATTCCTTCTTTCAGTCTTACTTTCTTTGATTTTTGATTTATTTTATTCTTTTTTTCATGTCTTTGATTTTTTTCTTACTCTGTTCATAATATCACCTTTCTTTCTTTCTTTCTTTCTTTCTTTCTTTCTTTCTTTCTTTCTTTCTTTCTTTCTTTCTTTCTTTCTTTCTTTCTTCTTTCTTTCTTTCTCTCTTTCTTCCTTTGATTTTAGCTTTCTTGTTTTATTCCATTTATTTTTCTTTGACTGTTTCATTCTTACTTTCAGTTTTTTTGTGCTTCGATTATTGCT